TCAATTCATTTATAGGATATAGATACCTTTGTTACCAGTTGTAACCCAAGTTAGAAAAAAACACTTTGATCAAACAGTGTTTTCTGACGCTTTTGTAGATTCATATTTGAAATGGTCATAAGTCAAATTTACTTTCCCAATTAAGAATAGGGAACTCTTCTAACTCCCTCACTATAAACGAAGAAGAACCCAACTGGCTCTACCATAATTAAATGTGTTTGCTTATAATCTTTAGTTCTCAAATTTTGAAACATTCGGATATTTGAGGTTCTAGAAGCAGGAAAGCACGTGTAGTGTAGATCTTGGCTCTGATATGACCTGGTCACCGTTCTAACACGAGCCCGGGAATCGGAAATTTAAATTGGTCTTCCCTAAACCCAAGAGCTTCCCTGAGTCGCCAGTCCAGTAAGTTTCCCTTCCAGGCTTGAGGTGATGAACCCGTGGTGGTGTAGCCACGGGCCACTGGGTTTAATTGTTACCGTGTCAGGCTGAACAAGAGTTACTGCAGCCAATACAGGTCTGTTAAGATGGTTCTTGTGAATAATACTGAACCAGTTTATTCTTGGCTAGTCTCCCTACCTCATGTTTGGACATTTAGGTATGGAGATATTGACACTTTTATCTCTCCCAGTATTAAGTATCTCTCTCCTATTTTATATCTACCAATATTACTTTAATATATCTTATACAAATAGATTCTTTCTCTTAGCCATCTCAAAGCAAAATATGCGATAATATTACAAGGACTAAAGAACTGTGGGCAAGATATGCTCTAAGTCGTAGAGTCTAAGAACAACACGTCATTAGTGGTTTAAGGAAAATCTCGCCTGGAATCCAAGGAATGAAGAAAATTCCGGAAAAGATCAAGTACCGTACGGATAAATTAATCTAGGGGGCTGGTAGGCGCTCTCTGGGGAAGACTCACCACAGAAAACTGTTTAAGTGTAAGGGGGAGACTTTCCTCCAGCAGTAGACAGACTCTTTTTGTATATACATAGTAGTGTATGTTATCAGATTTAGGCCAGGGAAGACGTTGTAATGTTTTAATTTACATATAATTATCATTGTTGCCTCGTTATCTTTAGTAACTTAAGGAGAAACTTTCTGCGCCAAGTTTTCTGGTAAATAATGGAGGTACAAAACTGAAAAGAGAGTAATTATAATACGAATACTACTACTGCTGCTAATAATGACGTTACAATTATTCTTGTTATTAATATACAGTAAATATCTAATAGTACCACCACTACTACTTCTCATGATACTGGCAAAAGTGCTTGCTGTTGTTCCTTTAAACGCTCGCATGGATGTGAAGATAAGAGAGTGGGGGCGGGGGAGGGGTGAAGAGGAAGAAACAGGAGGAGGGGAAGAGGAAGAGGGGGGACAGGGGGGGGGGAAGAGTGGGAGTAAGAGAAAGTGGTTATGGGGGTGGCAGTGCTTTCGCTTTTCTTCGTCAGAATTTGCAGTTAACTCTACTCTAAGTGGCTACCAACTGACCATACTGTACACAGACTGAGGCTACAGCACCCAGGGGGGAGGGGTAGTCTAGGAGTATTACTGTATACTCTGATATAGCAACACAGACAGACAGAGGGGGAACATTCCAAAAGGGCAGCTCTATATGGTGGAAACTAGATAATAGAATCTTATATCGTGCAAGGTAATAGAGTCTTTCTTATAGTGGTATTTAGACTATATATATATGCATGCTATTTACTTTCATTTGAATGGAAAATAGATGAACTGGACGTGTACGGTAACCATTTCCATTCTTGGGTTAATGTACCGATTTGTACACAGAATTTTAAGCAGTGGGTAGCCAGACAAAGGTGACCCAGCCAGTTGTACCCAGTTAATGGTACTCAGTTAATGGTACCCAGTTAATGGTGACTCAGTTAATGGTACCCAGTTAATGGTACTCAGTTAATGGTACCCAGTTAATGGTGACTCAGTTAATGGTACCCAGTTAATGGTACCCAGTTAATGGTACCCAGTTAATGGACCCAGTTAATGGTGACTCAGTTAATGGTACCCAGTTAATGGTGACTCAGTTAATGGTATCCAGTTAATGGTACCCAGTTAATGGACCCAGTTAATGGTGACTCAGTTAATGGTACCCAGTTAATGGTGACTCCATTAATGGTGCCTAGTTAATGGTGACCCAGTTAATGGTACCCAGACAATGGTGTTGAAGATAATTCTATGTAACAAGGGTACAGTACAAATAGTAGAGGTTCATCCAATAGTGACCTGGTGACCTGATGAGTGGTGATTCATGTAAGGCTGACTTGGTGAATGGCTGTTACTTGTTGCCCAGTTGACGGTGATCCAGATATTTGCCGTTAGTGGTGACGTAGTAATGACCTAGCCAGTGGTGACCCAGTAGTGCCCAAGCGTATGGTGACTTAGTAGTAACCCGATATTGACCTAACATTTGTTGACTTTATGGTGACGATCTAACTAGTATGACACAGTAACGACCTAGCCAGTGGTGTGACCCAGTTACGACCTAGCCAGTGGTGTGACCCAGTAACGACCTAGCCAGTGGTGTGACCCAGTAACGACCTAGCCAGTGGTGTGACCCAGTAACGACCTAGCCAGTGGTGTGACACATCAACGACCTAGCTAGTGGTGTGACCCAGTAACGACCTAGCCAGTGGTGTGACCCAGTTACGACCTAGCCAGTGGTGTGACCCAGTAACGACCTAGCCAGTGGTGTGACCCAGTAACGACCTAGCCAGTGGTGTGACCCAGTAACGACCTAGCCAGTGGTGTGACACATCAACGACCTAGCTAGTGGTGTGACCCAGTAACGACCTAGCCCATGGTGACATAGCCAGTGATGGCCTCGCTCGCCAGTGGTGCTTCAGACACCCGAGGCGCACTATTACCTCACCATGTCTGCTGGCTATTAAGTAATGACGCAACAATGTCTGTGATGACTTTTTTCAATTTTCAGTTATATATTTTTTTTCTGAAACTAGACGACCTTTAAAGGATGCGTCTCTACAAACTCATTCCGTTATCGTAAGGTTTAATCCATATCTACGTTATTTTAGTTCACTTTCTAATATTTTCTTTATATTTAAACACTCATAGGGGGTAATTCCCATCAACAATAAACCCATTCAGATTTACTTTCCTTAAATCTAACACTGTTTATTCTCTTATACATTTAACATTTTAAAATAATTCAAGTGACTGTAATGACTGATGTTTCTAAGAGGGAAACGGAGTTAACTGCTGTTTTACTGTTGGCAGGCTGACTCACCACTGCCAGACGTACAACAAACCCTTAATTAGTGTTTCCTTCACTTACACTCTACACACCTACCAGAAGTTTCACACGCTGTACATACAGTACACACACACATGAAGCTCTTTCTTAGGTTAAATGTAAATACGTCATTTACGGAGACGCTGTCAATCCTTGCAGTAAATTGTAAACAAACCCTCAAGTCTCAGGAAGGATACCAGCCTAACTGTTTATTTACAACTTAAATATCTAGTAATGGTCAATTAATCTTCGGGATATGATGTTCCTGAAATAGTTCTTATAGCAAGAGACGGTGCATAGGCGCGTAGGTTATATAAGCCTTAGCCTCTGGGGTGAACATAGCGCTACCTGGCAACTGTCTTCGAGAGAAAGTGAAACCGCTTAATTCATGTCAGATTTTTCACTTGGTTCGTTCCTTTTCGTTACGTTACAAATACAAGAAAGTTAACCTGACGTTTATTGAGTAAAGAAAAAAAATATCTTTGAAGAACTATACTTGCATCATTTACGTTTCCTTAATGACTGTAATATTTAATGTGTCTCTTGTATAGAGCCTAACACAATTGATTTCCGGAAGTTGATGTGTATGTGGTTTGAGTATACCTAAATGTGTGTGAGCGTAAAGTGTGTATGTGTGTGAGAGCGTGTGTGTGTGCGTGGGAGCGTAAGTGTGTGTGTGTGTGTGTGTGAGTGAATGTGTGTGTGTGTGTGTGTGTGTGCGTGTGTGTGTGTGTGTGTGTGTGTGTAAGATGAATGTGAAAAATCAATAAGAATCTACTGTAGGTTATTTTTCAAAATTATTATACACACGATTCCATTACGCAAAGTTTTTGGATGATAGGTAGTGAAGATCTGTGTCAAGGTAAAAAACATCCGGGAATTAGGAAGGAAATCTATTATCTTGGTAAAGGACACTTGATAGGGCATTTAACATGAGTTAGTTATACTTCACCCCAAAATTTTCAAAGTTCTCATCAGATTGGTCGCTCCATGGCGTCAGATAAACATACACACACACATACACACAGACGCGAGAGAAGGAGTGCTCACTTGCTCAGGTTAATGGTTGAAGTTATATGCAGTAGTAACTAGAACGTTTCGTCACGACGTTGGACATTACCGAGAGTTTATGCCCCGCGTCGCTGTCAGTAACCAGACAATGATGGTGGGAGCGACGCGACCACCTCCCCCAACCTATGCTATTGACAGGGACAATAGACTCTGGTAACTAATAGCATAATAAAATCCCTACTCTACGTTCATCATCTTTATTTGTTATGTACTAAAGAATGGAGGAAAATGAGTCGACTTACAGCTCAATATAATTCAACTACGAAATAGAAAGTGGAGCCCTTTCTAAAAGGTATAGCCTAACGAGGGTGTGGTTCAGGTGAAGGTGGGAGACGCCGTAAGAGCGTGTGTGTGGTCGTAATCAAAGCTGTGGCTACTGTGGCTACTGTGGCTACTAGCCATTTGCGCTAGTAAAAGGATTTACCTGCTTCTCTTAAAGAATGGGGTGAAGATATTGCAATCAGCGTCTTTCTATGTGTGATTGGCAGTCAGTGAACCTGCAGATGGGGAAATTATGACACTATTACTGTGCAAGTATCAAAGTCTTACTCAAAAACTTTTCGTAGTAGTTTTAAATTATTTTGTTATGACAGGGAATACAGGTAGCATGAATTACTTGTTTGTGTGTCTAACGTTAATTTATTTCTTCCAGAACGGTGACCATCAACATGGAGGCGAGCTCCACACTCCACGACAACTTCAAGGCTGATTTCTTCGACCTAGTGAACTGCACCGAGTACGACCTAAGCGGCACGGATCTTGGGTCCGTCTGTTGGCCCCTTGACGACCCCGTGAGTCGCAACGTAAACAACAACAACGTCTCCGTGGGGGATGTCATGACTCCATCCTGGCCGTATGGGAGCTATCAAGATCCGCCTACCTCCACTTCAATGAACGCTCACCTAGCTCACGACAAGGATAAGGAGACCACTGATAAGATGTGGGGCGGTGGTGGCTCGTCAGAGAAGGTGGTCAACAACGCGACGGGCAACACCATCATTATCACCTTTCCCTCTACTGAAGGCCCCCACCCCGCACCTGACACCTCCGAGGCAGCCTACAACCCCTCGCCCCCCATGACAGAACACAACAATCTCGAGCTCTTCAACTCCATTCTGAATGAAAAGCCCTATGACGGCCTGGTCTCTCACAATCACCGCTCCCCGGCTTCCGACTGTGTCTCCTACGTAAGCGTCTGCTCTGGCTACAGCGATTCAGGTATTTCTACGTCACTAGAGGACACGGCGTCACCCAATGCCGGTGGCCATGATCATGTCGACCTCGAAAGATTGGTGGACTCGGCAGTGGATTCTCTCGTGTACTCTCCAGGGGCCGGGGTTCTGGGGCCCGTAGAAGACAACCCGAGCATGGAAAGTAACAACGCAGCATTTATGGCCACGACACCGATGCCTTACTCCACGCATGTCACACAGAGCAGTGATGGTTCCTCTATCTTGGAGGGAGCACTGAGGGGCACAGTCCGGCGACCGGTAGGGCCTTCACAGCCTCCGCCCCTCGCGAAAATTTCAGATGTGAAGACACTTACCCTCATGTCCAATATGACGCCTTTGCCACCCCTCACCTCAGCTTTCAAAGCGGAACAGCTCAACGGTGTGGCGGGCTCCACGCAGATAAGCAGCAGTAACGGGATGTACGTAACGACGGGCTACGACTACCACCCAGCACCTGCAGAAGAGTACACCACACTCGATGCCTCTTTCAACAAGCTCTCCACCGCCACCACTACCAAGATGGAACATTCTGAGCATAAACCCAAGAAACGCAAGTACACGAAACGTACAGCGGGAGAGGAGCCATCCACGAAGGGCCGCTTACTGCACTTCTGCCACATCTGCAACAAGGGTTTCAAAGACAAGTACAGCGTTAACGTGCACATTCGCACTCACACCGGCGAGAAACCTTTCAACTGTGAACTCTGCGGGAAGTGTTTCCGACAGAAAGCTCACTTGGCCAAACACGTGCAGATCCACACCGCTCCAAAACCACCAGGAAAGAGGTGAGCGGAGGGGCCGACACTGTCACCAAGCCTCCTGAAGCCCCGGGCCGCGCTGGGCCGCGCCGGGCCGTGTCGGGCCGTGCTAGGCCATAGTTATGGGCCTCGCTCCACGTCTCACTGTCGTACCTGCTCCTCGTTCTTAAGCCGTCCTTTGCGTTATTCACAGCTTCCTACTGTTAGAAGGATAAGGGAATCCAGTAATTAACAATAAGTTTAGCCTACGGTGCAGCCAATACTCATGTATGTAAATAGTGCCACTAACCTGTCCCAAGCATGTTGTGCACTCATGTAGGAGAGTTGCATCATTGTTCTACTTGTTATTTCTACAGACAAAACACTGAATACATTACCACTAGCTGGCTAGTGTCACACACACATATATATTTCATATTCTTACAAAAGAAATTATGATTTGAAAAAGGTTGTACTTTTGCATAATTGGGTGCCATTATTTCTCGAGTCTCTGGTCCGTTACTTCACAATTCTGAGGCGCGGAGTGTGGTCATGAAGGTGAGGCATATGGTTCCAGAGGCAGCCTGGTGTTGCCACACACAACCTCATCGACATGACCACCTGGAGGCTACGAGGAGGGGGGGAAGGGGGTACCTGACAAGGTTTGGTCGTGAAGTCCTTGAAGGTGAAGGCGTCAAAAGTGAATATAACACGTGATAAAGAGGACAGTCCTTGCTGATGTCCTCTCAACAGTGGCCTCGCCTGAGACTCCTGGTCACTTATTTCCAAGAATAGAGATTTTCTCTCCTTTTGAGTGAGTGGGAACCAGCTGAAGTCGCTTCAAAGGTATTAATGTTCCATGGGTAATCTGATTTCCTCATGCATGGAAGATCATTCAGATACGTATACTGTCTGTAATATTGTTAACGCCAACTGACTACATTGTGACTGTGCCAGGCTGTGAGGTTGGTTGTGTCTGTCTCGATGCACTTTGCACCTGGCCTTGACACAATATTGTCAAGAGGTTCGAGGTCAGGCGTCGGGCAATTTGCAAATTTCACTAAAGTTGCCCATATATATATATATATATATATATATATATATATATATATATATATATATATATATATATATATATATATATATATATATATATATATATATATATATATATATATATATATATATGCAACTATTCGAACATATATGCATGTCTGTATACGTGATGTACCGAGATAACTTCAGAAGCATAAGGTATGCAGGAGTTTAGTCTCCAATTAAGTCTCTCTGATAGCTAATGAACTCGGCACAGCATCTGAGGTAACTGGGTATTACATGGCCTCACTAAAGCACCTGCGACGGCAGATGTGAGACCTGTGATAGGTCGCCTTAATGCTTATCTTAGTTTTCACCTAAGCAGAACCTAAACAGGTAAAGGTGTTAGGTGAGAATTCTAACTGGTGATTCTATGAGAGAGTGTCAGGTGAGGGTGCTGATGAGGGGAATAGGTGAAGGTACCAGACTAAAGTTTACACCACACAGGCAAAACAGTCAAGTTGGGATTCATAAACCACAACAATGGCGCTCGTCTCTAAAGTCAACGATTCATTGGTCACTGCAAATCGGTCTTCCATTTGGCAATTATTTAATGATAACTATTCACATGTAAATAGACTAAGAATAACGACAGAAATTATTTATTCATTTCATGAGAAAAACCTTCCTACGAGGTCCCATCGTTCCCCGGATGTCACAAAATCATATTTACTCTCATAGTCAAATCGTTCATCTCTCTTGTATTTCCAATGGTACTTATTGATAAAGAAATCATGTATTGGTGCAGTACTGAATGTATTAACTAGTGAGCTCGTCATATATGTATATGGATGTAAATAACAATACAGGTCTAATTAGCGTCGTGCGGAAGCTAATGGGAAAGGTGCATCATTTTCTTTGTCATTATTTAAATTATTCCTTCTAGCTTAGTGTAACATATTTCCGTGCGTGACAGGTGTTACTCTTAATATAGGATACGGTATATGCTAAAGGATGCTGCTCTAAAATGCTCTCCTTTTTAAATAGCAGTGTTCCATCATTCCCACTGAAAACAAAGGTTTAAAATCATTATACAATAACAAAGAAAACTTTGCAGTCTCCCAAATTTAAGATAATTTGTTGTAAGATAATTACCGTAGATCACCTTGGCGTCACTTCTCTCCACAAAGAGCTAAGGCTCCTATAATTTCGGTTAGCTTACATGTAATGACTTGTGATACGGTGCCGTCCAATTAGCTGACGAATATGATCACTGGATATGACGTGGTGCCTTTTTAATTGGCTGGCAGTCTAAACATATCTTGTGGCGTCAAGTACAATGATCGTCTGCCAAAACCTGACTGAACACTGTGATTGGAGGAGATCTGGAAGTTTATACCCAGTCCCTGGCACTTTTGTAGGTAGTACAACTATCCCTGTTGAGCTTATCCATCATCTATTTTATGATTATTATTATGCTCTAGTTTCCACTTCCACACACCAGCTCAACACACAAGTTAAGTACGTCATTATTAAGTCTCTATAAATGAGAATAGATTGGAATTTAGGTGAAGAGAGTTTTAACACATTAATAGGGAATTTATTACAAAGCAAATGTACTTAACTTTTCAGTGTAGCTAGAGAGTGAAGATGTTGAAACTCAGTCTTTTTTCCTGTGTGTATGGTAAAGTTTATTTAAGCAGCATTCAAGGTTAGATTATTGTTTCAATTGTGTCGTTTTAAAGTTCTAATTCATTGCAGCTGTATATTGTTTACCCGAGGGACTGATTACCTGTAGTTTTATAGTGTTTAAGAAACTAAGATTTCTCTAAGTACTGAGAATTACAGTGTTTCATTATTATTTAACTCTAACTCTATGATGTACAAGGTGACGAAATTAAACCTTCATTATATATTAATTTGATTGCATTGAGTACTAACTAACTGCATTTGTACCCCTTCTTTAAAAACGAAAATATCTCCCTTCGTTAATCTAGACTAGACCAAACATGGAAATACTTAAATAGATTATAATGTTGAAACAATAGTCAGGGCCGACGTCTGCTGCCTTACTATTATTCTCTCGTTCTTCTGTAAGTTCTATACTGAAGATAATTCTGTACCTTAGATGTTCTCAACATTTCTGGTTGCTATGCAGTATTTTTGGGACGAAATGCGCAATATCGGCCCTTGGGATGGGTTCAAATAAGGTTCTTGATTATCATTTCAAGATAAAGGGATTTGAGCTTTACGTGGATCCACCCAAAGGGCCACGATCGTTGTTGCCTTAGTTGTAAACAACCTCTGACGCAACGAAATTGTAATATTTTTAAAATAATATCATAATTATGTATTTGTTAGTTGTTATGTGCATTCATCACAAGATTATTCATCTAACCATTATGTAATATTGCTCCATGTCGGAATGTTTGAGAAATTAAATAACTCCGGCATTCCAACTTATTGTGGGGTGAGGGGGACAGTAGGATGTTAGCTCCGGGTCGTGCAAAAGAGAAAGAGTGAAAGAAAATGATTGAAAGGAATTGTATGTAAGGGGCTAAACCCAAAAGGTGTCGCGGCTGGTCCTATCCCAATTCTAAGGCCCGTAAAAACATTGCCAGCACAAGCACTCAACAGCTCCTGGTGTTTCCATGCACTTCGTGATGGAACGTCAAACTGTTGCTTGTAATGGCGCTCTTTTATGGTACGCGGACAAGACTTTACACTAAGTCATCAGTAAACAAAAGCAGCCTGGAAATAATAGCCAGAGGAGCTTTAAACGCCAAATATTGTTTTTATAATTTATCTCGCTGTTACCAAAGTGGGAAAGGCCTGTGTCCCGCCCACCTGCAGGGTTGCCTTAAGACCCGGAAAAAAACCTTTATGAAAGCCGTATATTTTTTATAGTTATGGAAGCCTTATGGTTTTATTTTGTTACCACATGAGCTACAATTTGATGGTCGAGCATTTACACCATTAAAACATTTATGGATATTTTCTTTTGCTAGGTAGATGTTAAGTAGTTCCCAGGAGATTAAGAATATCTCTTCTATAACATGCATAATTAAATGAAATAATACAATATACTGTGTAATAAACAGTACACAATACTTGCTCAAAATTAGTGTTGATCAGAATAAAATATCAATATGAAATTTGACGGAAATATACAAAAGCATAATTTATATATAATTATTAACTGCAGAGAAAATAATAATAATTAATCTGTATTAATAAAGTGTATTTTGATATAAATCTGTTTTATTTTTCATATTATATTCTGACGCCTCCTGTGGGCACTTGTGACTTATATCTGGCATAGAAAATAAAAAAGGTCTTCTCACTATTGTTTTTTCCCTCTACTGTGATAATAAAAGTCAGCGTGTTAGTTAATTTGTTATACTTTTCCTGAGTGTGTCTCATCGCTTCTCCTTTATTTTTGTTTCTGTTATCCGTTACTTGTTTGTTACAAATTAGCCTCCTCACCGAGATGTCACAGAGTAATATATGTTATACCATTATATATTATCCGTTACCTCATTCTCTTTCAAGCTTTTGTTGCCTCCTCGAAGCTCAAGGCTTACGTCAAGCCCTCACTCTCAACTGTGATTGGTCAGAGAGGGTGCCTAAGTCATAGGGTCATTCCGAGAGCAGATGGGCCACTTTATAAGTAGGCTGGCCGGAGTATGAACTTATATAGCTGTATTATTTGTCTATACACAATGATATAAAACATTATGTAGTAACTTTGAAGAATCATTAATCTTGTTAGAAATTAATGAGTAAAGCTTAATGACTGTAAGATGATACTATGTATAATATTAGATGAGTTATGATTGGTTGATATACAAATAAATTTTACAAGTTCAACTTTGACATTGCTTAAAGAATGACTTACGGACTAAAGGCTAACCAAAGTTCTCATTGGCTACGGAACAATCTGACGTCATATGCGAGTTTCAGTGGTGATTGGATAAAGTTGGAAGTCAAAACTGAATGAAAGCTGATCATAATAAAAAAAAAACAATAATTAAGCTTTAATAGCTATTTTTAACTTAATACAAAAGGATCGGTTGCCATCCCCTGAAGATACAGAATTTGTGCTTTAAGAATTTGCTCAACCAAAAGTAAAGCCTTGGGTTTCGAGATCTATTTCTCTTGCTACGTGTAACTTAACATCCTTTGTTAAGCTTAAGTTTTCTGAAGACTACAACGTATCCAAATTTGGAAAGAAAATCTGTGATCACAAAAAGACAATGAAATAAAAATCTTATCATGACAAACTCTCCAAACTTTCTGATTTATATTAGTTATGTGCAATAAGGAAGACAATTTACAAGATATACCTAGAATCCCAAACTAAATCATTAGATGAAAATACTCAGCAAAAATAATAATAATAATAATATCAATAATAATAATAATAATAATAATAATAATAATAATAATAATAATAATAATAATAATAAACAATCCAGATAAATTATACCAGTCTCAGGAAGCTTGTGCGAGGCAAGAGATGAAATGTTCACCTAAAAACCCTTAAAATGCATCCCAGCATCATTCTTGTGTGAGATGATTGGAAAAAAAAGTTATTCTCGGATATAAATATTTAGGTAGCAATTGACAAAGTACGAAGCCAATGGCCAAGCTTCGTTTGATATTCGGCTTTCATATTTATCTTATATATATTTTTGTAATCTTTGTTACATTTTGAATGCTGATTATCATGTATTTACGAAGAAAATTGTACATAAGAGTTCAATAAAACCGCGCCACATCTTACCACCATTGTTTGTTTATTCAGCCTCAAAACCTTTACTCAATCTGCAGGTCTTTGGTCCAGTAATGCACAAATATATACACCCTAAAATGTATTAATAAGTGGTCTATTCACACTGGGTCATACACGCACGGCCTCACATATGCAACATCAACTAGTGGTTCACACACACACACACACACATACACACACACACACACACATACACACACACACACACACCATATACCACATTGCAAACACAACGTCACTCAGGTGTCCATACACACATTTGTGATGTTTAATCTCATTTCTTTCTTTTACTTTGTAGTTGATAACCCTATTATCATAAATCTCTCTCTCTCTCTCTCTCATTCATTCACAAAATGGAACAAGGTAAAAATGACGAACCTTTGATCCAAAACACAAGAGCCACAAAAGGTTGACAAGAACGGGCAGAAAACTGTACACCGTAGACACTAAAATGGATAATTGAATCCTCTAGATCATCAGGTGTTACTTGACACTGATTCTAAACTGCTGTGAATCATAACAGTAAAGGAAAAGTAAAGGAGAAAAGAAAACAAAATGTATGAGAAAAAAGAAAGAGAAGTGGAGGCGAGACGTTCAACCACGGGCTGATGAAATGTAAGGAGACTACAGGCAGGTGAGAAGGAGTTGGGTGCAGGTAGGTAGCAGGTGAAGATGAGAGAGAGAGAGAGAGAGAGAGAGAGAGAGAGAGAAAGAGAGAGAGAGAGAGAGAGAGAGAGAGATTACCACAAAACTTAATACACTATACAGTACAATTAAGGATCCGGTGAAGAAAATATTGATATAGAATAAACTGTTTATATATGTCATGGATTTAAGGAATCTACTGCAATATATAGATGGTACTTATATCATGCAACATTTCCTTTACGTGATATTTTCAATGACAATATTATCATAATAGATGTGAAAGTACAGCTAGGGCCATAGGGGCAGTACGGATACGATGCACTAAACCTTGGGTAGAAAAGGAGGCAGTGTGGGCGGCACTGCATTTGACTATCTTCAATTCCCCAACTGCGAAGTTAGGCACCACCTCACAAATAAGTAGAACGGTGGTGGTGACTTTAGCACGAACCAGTGACTATTGAATTGAAACAGTTTATTTAGCCAGAAAAACACAGATACAGAGTGGATAATAATAACAATATTAACATGGCTGAGCCAGTTGAGAACCTGAGCTCTCTTTGAGGCACCTGATATATACTATACATTTATCTCAAGGAAGTATTATGTAACATTTAGTATCATTTAGTATTAGGACAAGAAACAACTCCTGATTCCACTAAGTAATTCAAATTTGACACATAATTAAAACTTGATCAGAACGGGATGAACTGAATTCCTATTTTCCTCCTGTTGGAAAAAGTTAGGTAGAACATGTCACCCAGCCAATCCTTAAAATGTAATTATCCTATAATAGACTTATCCCCTCCTTCACCAGAAACAAGAACAAACATAATTAAAAGCCTTATAAACTGGATACAAAATTAAAACAAAACAACTCTACGGGGCGGAAGCCAAAAATATCAGGTTCAGTTAGTGTAACAGAAAACGGCGAGGTAAATTGTTTGCGGTAACTCTGGTAAAACTTGAGATGCATTTATATGTAAGTTATATTTCTGAGAAAGAGAAGAAAAGGCGACATTAAGAAATACACAGAAGCAGATGGAATAATAAACGATGAGAAAATGAGAGCAAGAGAAGCCACATGAAAAGACGGAACATGAGAACAAACAGGTGAGAGAGAGAGAGAGAGAAGAAAAGAGCATTATATCAACTTTTGACATTTTCTCACCTTAAGTCCCACTAGAAGCAGCAGCAGCTACAGCGTCAGACAATAAAAAAAAAAGATCAATAAATACTAATAAAGAAGCCAAGGAGAATTTATCTTCCTGGTCAAGGTTAGAGGCACAAAAGCCAAGGTCAGGCCGGCGGCAGGACAGAGCAACGTCGCCGGGTGAGGAAATTCAACTTTTACGAAATCTCTCGTTTACAAAGATTCTTTTACAGGTTGTGGAAGCGGCTTATGTCGGAATACTGCCTTCGATATGTAAACAGGAACTCAGAGAAAAGCCTATTATATTTTTTTTATTTTAGACTTTTGCTAAATAATTTTGTTAGTCGGTGATAAATTTCCTGGAGTGTATGAAAGACTCCAGCCAGAGAATGAAGGAATTACATAGGTCGTTGGGTAGTTTACCTGTCCTTGATAACGTTTGAGGATTCAATAATGCCATAAAAACGTTAAGAATGATCATTATTGTCCTTGAAAACGTTGAACAGATGAGTAAAGTGGTGAGTTAATTATACCGGAAGTAAAATATTAATGGGATCAATTTTTTTAGGAAATATTTTTATTCCGAGTTTCTATTTAACATTTTAAGAGGGAATTTTTACACCTTAGCTTTAATGTTACCGATACAATATATTTTACCTAAACATTTTGGATATCTCCCTAGACAAATCAACCAATCATAGGACTCAGCATAAGGAAGTTTTTAGATAGTCTTTATATTTCACACTGATCAATGTATTTATACCTTTAAACAATAGATGAGAAAAGACTAAATACATTATATAAATAGCCAACAAATATACCTGTGTACATTAATGAGTCCATATATATGTAAACAGTAAACAGACAAATACAAACTTTTATATGATAATAGTCTACATATTTTATATACTTGTTTGTACTTATAAACAATAGATAAGGAAATGTGAGGCTCTATTTAATTGTCTATTATTTTACACATGTATTAATTTGTTTTTAGTGTAATTACCAGACAAGAAAAATACCCTTACTGGTTGAATAAGCATACGTGGATACACTTGTAGTTGTAAAAAAATAAATATGAAAATACAACACAGATTTTATAGATTGTCGACTCTTGGCTCTTACGTTAAAGTGAATGTATCAACAATAGCCAGAAATATACAAGACCAAATCATCTACCATTTTACCTTTAATATACATCTATATTTTACTAAAATGTTCATGTTTTCTCATATTCTTCATAAATCTTATATGCGTTTCAATAAATTTCTTAACTTTTATTGTACATCCACATATTTTTCGTATCTCTTAATGCCTATACTGACAAATGAACCTTTGAGCTATGGAGCAGGTTTCGTCATTGTAGAGTCCAGGGTAGTCTGACATAACGATCTCTAGGCAGTGTTCGTCGCCGGCTCTGTTGTCCGGGCGAGAAAAGAGCCACTCTTCAGGGTCCACGGGGCGATCAGACACCCACTGCCATGTCCCTTCAGCACCTACGTCTGTGCCTCCTACCCAGAAGTACCCGGGTCCTGAGGGAAGGAGAAAAGACGAACGGGGGTTAAGTAGTGATGCGTTTGAAAGAGAGAGAGAGAGAGAGAGTGTGTGTGTGTGTTGTGTGTGTGTGTGTGTGTGTGTGTGTGTGTGCGTAGTACATTTTGGTCAAGAGCGGGCAAAAGAATTATTTTACATGCAAAATTGAAACGAGTTTGAATAAGACCAGAAAGCAGGTGTGAAATGGTTATACAAGCAGAGAGAGAGAGCGTGTGTGGGGAATGAAACAGAGAGAGAGAGAGTAGCCTTCTGGGAGACACTTCAAAATCCATACAGAGAGAGCTAGAGTCTGGCTTGATATTTCCCTCTATATGTTTCAGTCTGTCTTCCCTTGTTCATTCTCTCTGTCTTTATCTCTACTTATCTCTCCTCTATCTGTTTCTCTTTCTACCTCCCTTCCTGTCAGTCTGTTTCACGTTCATTGTACGTTTGTCAATCGTTCTATTAGTATATTTGTCTCTATCTCTATATCGTTCATTTTCCATTTCTCACAGCCTCTTCCTTCTCATCCATCCTATTCTGTCTCTCTGTATCTCTCTCCATCTCTCACTACCTTTTACTTCCCATTCTCCTTAATCCATTTTCTCTTCTATGCTTCACCAATCCATCTTTCTGTCCCATAAATTTTAACAGATCCAGGAGCCTTTTTCCACCTTGACTCAATTATGTAAAATTATGCACACAGAATACAATTATGAGACAGACGCAAGTTATATTTTTTCCAAAGATTAAATCACCTGAATATTCCTCCCTCAGCTAACCTAACAACCCAACCTAACCTAACCTAACCCAACCTAACCTAACCTAATCTAGCCCCTCAGGTAGAGTATGGTTAGGTGAAATAGTTCAAGAAAAAGATAAATAATATTTATTTTAATATAAGATAGAATTAGCTCATTTAATACGTACTAATGAGAGACAGAGGGAAATAATGTTCACTGGCGAATATCTACATAAACTAGGCAAGGACGTCAACACATTGGCTTTAAGTGTGTGAAAGCCGCTAACCTTTCTCCTGACGGTGTAGAGAGAGAGATTGCTGGTTAATTCTGAAAACATCTTTGACGATGAGGAGAGAGATTGGTTCCTTTGAGTTTGGATATCGTCTCCAATATGAGTTGTGTTGGCACGAGATGAATCCTCCAGTGCGCAGGTCACGCTCGGCGGCACTCTATATGAATGATTCTTCGCTTTTGTTTGAAAATATTTTGCGTTTAAATAGTAGGAAAACAATATTCATAAACTTGGTAATGAAATCTGATAGCAACTAGAGTGAAGAATATTAACAGAATAGTGTATGAAACTGTGGCTATTGTTTGTGGTGTTCATCTGTGTTAACGTGTACGGTCTGTGATGACTATCCTCCCTGTTAGTGTACCAATAATTGCTAATCTTTTCATGCATTAAGTCAATGGAGGAGCTACAGTAATTGGTAAACATGGATTTGGATATATTCAGTCATTATTTAGTTCCCTCGCTGTCAGTACACAGTATAAGAATAAAAATGGTGGAACAAGATTAACAAATGTTGTAAGAAGAAAACAGACGACAACAATGATGACTGAGGTACACCACGTACTACATTACTCCGTCCAATTAAAACAACTTCTCATTAAATCATATAAATCGTCTACAAGCAAGAAATAGGAGCTAAGGATATCAATGATTAAATGAATAAATAACTTAGGAAAGCGGGAAGACAGTTTACAGCCACTATGCTACCAGCCTGTAGTGACAATCTATATATATATATATATATATATATATATATATATATATATATATATATATATATATATATATATATATATATATATATATATATATATATATATATATATATATATATATATATATATATAATAAAGCTGTAGTGAGTGCTGGTGAGGTTACCATAAGTGTCTGCCAGGTAGGTCTGAAGGGGCAAACGGGTGCTCGGGATTTGCCAAGTCGCCACCCATGCCTTGACACACTCGTCTCGCCTGCGGCCATGTCAGCTTCTTCTGGTGGGCGTAGAAGCATTCGTAGATCACCTGGGTGAAGGGGTAGGGACACGGAGCTACTGCAGGGAGAAGATAGGAAGTCAAGTTATGAGAGGTACCCTTGGCTAATACCAGTGACCACAGTGGTAAGACCGTTGTTTTGTCACAGTATTTCACCATAAAAATTAAAGTATACAAGACTTTAATATTAAAAAAAAGTAGACGATAACAATAATGTAACTGAATGATGACATGATATTTTGACTCTAGTATAATGTTATTGTTTCGGCATTAAAGAAAGGATACTAACCTCACAAGAACACTGGGGAGTCATACAAACTGTTCAAATTTCCATTAAGTGAATTATGGCAGGTGTGAAGATATCTGAGTCAATCACGTACCTGTGTTAGTTGTGGCGTTCTTATTGAGTAATGACGTCAAGGTATTCATGAATCCATCGAGGACTTCCACTGCTCGATCTATAGCTGGGGAGAAGGAGCACCTCAGGGTAATAACACGAATTTATTATTACCATGTAGTGTTAATTATACCTGTCTATTGCTGTTTGTACTTTGTTGACAAATAATAATCATTTAAGAAAACACCTATATATGAGGTAATACTTTACTTGTACTACCAAACTAGACTTTCTACAACGAAATATATACAGAGCATCTTGTTACTTTACGAATTAATCTTCTATGACGAGTTGAAAGTTCAGAATTGGAATTTTGTACTTCTGGGTAATACAAAGCGAAATAACAAACAAGAGCTGTAACGGGTGCAGTGTTCTCGAGGGGAGTTGTCCTGAGTACAGTACCTATAGTCTTAACAAATTTTCATTTTTTTTCGTATTTCATCAAGAACTTTGTATCGATAAATTATCAATTAACATTACTTTCTTACGGTATTTGAATTATATTTCTGAAATGCATGCACGCAGTATTGTAACTGCATGACGTAATTTTCACCAGCCTGTAAAGTATGACTTCGAGTTCTCAAGCACAGTTTCCGTGAGTGACGGATGAAACTTACTGGAATGTAGTTATTCAACATTTAATGAATTCACGTGAAAAGTGTCTTACCTACAGTATAATGTACTATATCCGTTAGTAAGTCAGTCAGACTTAGGTATGACCAAAGAATATGGAGGCAATCAATAATGTCTCATTTAGTTCATGTACACGAGCAATACTTCACTCGTCATGGATCTTGCTGGATCCTGTATTTTTTTTCTCGACAGAACTACATAAGTGTCTCTGACTAACCCCAAGTGAGGTTATCGATGCTGTAAAGACGAAAGAGCAGGCTACGTGTGTAACAAAATTTTACTTAATATTTAGAGTCATTGTGGTGCACTGGTTAACACTTCTAGTTTCCACTCGGAGGTCTTGGGTTCGAATCCTTGGCTAGTGAGGTATTGTTAGCAATTTGCATTAGTTAATTAATATGCCATTGAGGAAAAGAGATAAAAGAAGAAATAGAGGCAAATCTCAACGCCTGGAGCTACCGACCACCACACCAACTTTAAGTACACCTCTACACCAGTACCTCACCTCCACTAAGCTACCTACGAAGTTACTCCTCTTGTCAGCCGTCATCAGAGATATGGTGAAGGTTGACACTTGCCTTTAACTTCTACATTAATCTGACAGGCCTCTAAAGGAGTCAGAGTCAGAACAGGGACCAAACTAAGCCAATCCACACAACATCTGCCATTTGTTTATGACAGGGAGTGTGAGGAGGTGATAATGATTTTGAGTACTTGGGACTTGGATTCCGTCCATGTTGAGGAAACAAGATGGTAATTAAAGTGTCGAGAGATTTCCTGTCTGTTTGTCTTTCTGTCAGTCTATTACTCTGTCTGTTTGTCTGTTTGTCTGTCTGACTGGGGCATCTTTCCCATTTCCACTAAGTTAGGAATGGAGCAAAATATGGGAGGTATGGGTAGTGATGGGTAGTGATGGAAGGAGGAGGTTCTCTCATGGTCATATTGAAGATTACGTGAGAGGTACTGTTATGGCAGAGGCAGTATTATGGTAGTACGGCAGGAGATGGGAAAGACTATGACACGTTAGGATGGAAGATATGGGAGGCATAATAGTATGGTGGTATGTGAGGTGATGGCATGGGAGTTTTATCATGGTTGTATGGAGGAACAGTGATACAGTAGAAGGCAGGCTATACTGTTTGCACGGGGGAGTGATGGGAGGGACTGTGGAGACTGGGTGGGGCTTAAGACACTTCATTAACTTTATAAATTAATTCTACGATCAAATAAATTTATCTTTGATATTGTTTAGACTTATTGAAGTATCTATTTGAAGTATTTTATTGCCTTTTTTTATGTAGTTTATATAAGAATTTTCATTTATTCATGTTTTTTTATCAAAGTATTTACCTCAATGTAGAATTATATATTTCACTTGTGATAGATAATTATGGACAGTTCCTTACCTTTAGCGCAACAGCAGGTATCACGCTCTGCGAGAGGTGTTGAGCAAGTTCTCCGAGTCTTGCCTTTGCCTTAAGGGGTTCAAGTTATCCCCCTCTGTGTTTTGCAGGGGTTGTGGCCTCCTGACCCAAGCAGTGATGGGGAGCCACCACCACCAGCGACAGCACCAGCGTTTGGAGCATGGGTGACGTCACCAGCGTAGATTGAAGCATACAAACACGATATCCTCCTAGTGTTCTTAGATTGGGTGGATGGAACACAGTACCACTAATATCTGTATGTTCGAGGACAAACAAATCCCAAACGCCACTTCAGAGTACTAAGTGCTTGTTCTGCCAACTTCCTTGCAAAACCGTACACGAATATCACTTTATAATCCACTTCAACTTTACTCAACACTATAGTATTCTTTATAGCGTATATTAAGGCAGAAGTGATCACCCACACCACATTCTAAATACCCGGTGACCTTCTACTGCCTCAACCGCTGCTGTACTGGTGCTATGGTTGACTGGGTACAGCTGATCAAGGCGGGTCAGCTGGGTCGACGGAGGAGTTCTGATGAGGAAGCCAGATGGAAGGGATCATGTGTCTCTCATAGCTAGGAGGCTCAGTGGGAGGTCTTGGGGAGGCACGAGGAGGTGCAGGGGGGGGCATGGGGAGGTCTGGGGGAGGCACAGGGGAGGCACAGGGGGGAGGCACAGGGGGAAGCATAGGGGGGAGGTCTAGGGGAGGCACAGGGGGGGAGGGTCTGGGGAGGCACAGGGAGAGGTACGGAAGGAATGGGTTGATACTCACACTTCTACATCTTGATAAATATTTGCCTTAAACTTACTTACATAAACACTACAAGCCTACATACAACCTACCCAACTACAACTACAATAATAATAATAATAATAATAATAATAATAATAATAATAATAATAATAAATTACTCCCGTATTCTTATTGATATAATTTTCGTTATCCATACATACTTACTCACACGCGAAATCGCTCAAAACTCAATTTACTGTTCACAAAATATAACCTGTCCTTATCAGTGAGCATCACGTAAGACTCCTGCACCTAAGTATTTAAGCTGGCGTTAGTCGTTCATTAATCATCAACTTAGGGCTTGATGATAAGGTTGTTAGAAACCTCTTAGGGAGTAATAAGGTCAATATTCCGGCCAGACGCCCAGAAGTCCCTGAGATCAATATTGGTGATGGAAAACCAAACGTTCGTCTTCCCCATGAATGCATCACCCGGCCCCGTTCACCGACCATCACACTTCACCCATACATCGTTCACGTACCCCAGTGCCTGGAGTCTTAGGTTAGGCTAGGCTAGGTTATTGTTAATATTTACTAACAAGTTGACTCCCAAATATTTGAACTTGATGAATCCAAAAAATATATGTTACCAAGCTGAATTTTGCGTTGTAAGCCCTAACATCACAGAAGAGACAATATGGCTGTTAAATTTTTTCTGTGATCCTTCGCAATATTTTTCTATGTGGAATGAAATGATATTTAAATCTCTCGAGTTTTTAGTACCAAGGGATTCATCTCGATTCATGAGAATGGATGTTCCAAGCCTTTCCTCACCAATTGGAGGTTTGCAATTGAGTCGTTGAGTATAATCAGTTCAACTATTATCATCTAAGAGAAAAGTGAAATAATTATTAATGAAATTTCTTAATAATTTGTTTATATTAAATTGTTTTAGTAACTTTTAGCTATTAAATGGAACCGAATTGGAAAAATACAGTACTGTAATACCAGCATGAAGTCGGGAAGGTTCGTATCAGTGAGCCAGCCCAGACACGTGCCATCAAGTAACGGACGGAGACGTTCCAGACTTCAGGCCGTACACCATACACTGTTGTTCTTTCAATTTCTGTTGACTGTGATGATATTTGAAGATTAAATAACACTACACTTCACGGCTAGGGTTTCTATATTATTCTAGAGACTTAACGTTATATTTCACTGTATTTATGTAACGTTCAACTGGGACTGTCAATCATATTTAAACTGAGGCTATTGAAGTCCTATATTTTCTTGTTGGGAGTGTCAGGGAGATTGTATATGGTCAAGCTAATCATCAGTAATAAGGTTAAGTTAAGAATGTTCTGATAGAACATTTATAACGTTTGTAACAAGGTGACGGCATGTAGTTTAACTTACGGAAATTTTCAGATCGTTTAAGTAAGTTTTATCAAGACCAAAATCATCAAACTACACCTGCAATAACCAGGTATTTTCCTATATAAAATTATACTAGTAGTCTAGAATTCTAGTTTAGCTTAATTGGATTTTCTTTTGCAGTCTAACATTCTTGTGTTACGACCAGCTTGGAGTCCACACCGCCGACATGGCAGAACTCAGTGACTGGATGGTGGAAGCTGATCCTACATCATTCCACAAACCATTGGGCTGTTGAGAGGGTGCTGGTCTGTCATAGTAGAATCAAAAGACACTGGTAGTGTCGTTTTGCTTCTGCGGTTACCTTATGAGCAAAGGTTCGAAGGAGAAATGGGTCCAGTTAGGGGCAAGTGAGTAGCGGCGGCTTATAATTCTACACATCCTGTCTGAAAGGTGAGGTGTCTCAGTCTATCAGTTGATGTTGGTGTATTTTTTACAACCGGTGATGACGCTCATAATATAAATAGGTACGAAACATGGATCCTATATATAACAGGTTATAATTATACAGTACTCCGTTTGATGTACGAGAGAGAAAATTCTCTCTGGCCCGGGGGTAATATTGACGTCACCGCTACAGGGTGACTATCCTTAAAAAACAGCTTCCTCGTCAGCGGTGACGTCTCTGTTCCCCGACAAGAGGGAATGTTCTCTGTCATACGTCACTCAGTGGTATATAACCTACCATATCACCTCTCCTGGTCTCTTGGTGTACACACAGAGAGGACTCCTGGCACCTACTGACCATACCATTCTTGTCATAGCGACATTTACAAGACTTTTCTTCCTCACCTGCTCCTCCGGAACACTGCATCACCACCATGAACACCAAGATGCTACTGATGCTGTTCCTTGTATCTGCTACCTGTTGTCATGTCACCAGCTCTTCTTAAATATTTTCTAAAGGTGTCTGTACGGAAACATTTAGTGGCTGGCACCCCACCACCAGCGGGGAGATGCATGAGCTTCCAATGTTGTCCTGCAAGTGCCAAGGTGGGTGCCACGAAAATGGCTTCTGTGTCCAGCTGATGCAGCCCGTCCTTGACTTAAATGGCAACTCACTCGGCGAGGAATGGCATCGTGGCTGTGTTTGTGCTAATCTTTTTGAGTGTCAACCAAGGTAGACCACGCTTGGACTATGCACTTCTTCCAGAGATTCCAGACAGATTCACGTCTTAATGATAATACTATAAATATAAGGAGTCTTTGACAGCCCTGGATATTTGTAGTTCCTGCTAAACACTGGAAGTTAACCAAGGAGCAGTTGACCTCCAAACACCGTGAAGAGTTAATGTTGAGATTCTGAAGTAAAATCCAAGAGCCGCAGTGTGGTGGCCACAGTATAGTGGCCGCAGTATGGTAGTGAAGATGTGCGGCTCACCGCCTGCAGATAGGAGTCACATGTGATACATTTTATTTATTAAATTATTTATTTATTTATACAATCTATATAACTTATATAAATATAATATATATTTAGTAATATTAAAAGATATTTCAATTACCTACAAATTTAGAACTTAGTGACACAAGAGTCCACCTTCAATTAGCCAAGCATCCTGTGTTGACGCTGTAACGTTAACTCCATTTTCATATTTTTTGTTTTGTTGTTATCTAACACGGTCTATCCTCACTACACCGTCTGACCGCCCATTCACATTAAATAAAATTTATAATAGAAATACAAAATTTAAAAATAAAATAATAATGATAATAATAACAACACTAATAATAATATTAATAATGATAAAGAACGATACAGAAATGCAAAAATGAAAAAAATTAAGAGTGAGAAACAATATATGTATGTTGTGTTGTCAAAGTAAGAGAAACAATTGAGACTGCAATTGTGTGTAAATGAGGCAGAAAGTCAGATCAGCAACCTGGGACTTGGTCACAATTTTTGTGATGCCATATAGCAGCAGGGTCTACCATTAGACAACACATTATGTTTCCACAGAACCACACCCTCACACCAGCCAAAGATCTACGGTACCACTTAACACCAGCACGTAGAGAATGTGCAGCAGAATCGCTTATCTTGACTCAAAGTGGTGTATGTAACGAAACAGTACTATAAGGTGATCACCAAGTAAGAGTCTTCCTAAAATGTCCTTGTCGCTATGCTTCCTGTGAGACTCTCTTACCCCTACCACTTAAGATGTGATCTGTTTACGAAAGGCTCAATTTGTATCTGATCATAAAGCTAACGAGGAACCATCTTACGAAATGACAAGACCGAATCTCATCAATATCCTTGATGGGAAAATATAATGGAGAATATTATGTTCTCCAAACTCGAGGAGTCTTGCTTTACGATGCGGAAGAGGATGCGAGACGTCATTGCCACGGCTTGGTGGCTGAAGCGTTACCTAGAAAGAGCATTTCTCTACTTCCGTGTTTCCCTGCTTCTTTCCTTCCTCTCACAATGCAGTAGAGGAAACCAAACTAAAACACGTACTCCGACCGCAGACAAAAAAATTGATGAGTTTTCATGGGACACACACACACACACATTAAACGATAAACATTTAAATAGTGAAAAACAGAAAGAAACTTACAGACGCATCTACAAAAAAATAAAAAAATTATATTCACTAATCATCAACGGAGGTACAGGAATAGCAATGTTAACTCTTATGGTTATTTTAGGGACTGCCTCACTAACTTAAATTAGAAAGGAAATTTTTAAATGGGTGAAAACTTTTTTTATTCAATTGCTACAGTAAGCGTCCTCTGTCCAGCGAGCGCAGAGACCCTCCCTCCTCCTCCCTCCTCCCCTTCGTCTCCTTACGTCACACCACTCCCTTAACATCTCCCTGACGTCATTTCAGTTGTTTATATTAAGAGAGTTACAGGTATTAAAGATGTGTTTGAAGGCTAATTTATCGTACAATGTTGACAACTAATGTTCGAAATGTAAATAGTTCTCGGTTATCACAACAGAAAATATTGAAAATGTTGCATTATATTACCAATATATAACTTTATTTAGTCGTTTTATGGATGATAATGAGGTGAAAATAACGTACTAGGTATTGTTGTAATGCTGCCATATAACATTTACTGTTGAGTTATACACAAGAGCTGCCAGTTGACATTAATAACTAATATTATCGGGAAAAATTAGTTATACTGTCAATACTCTTGGTATAGCGCTTCTTATCCTCACCACACTACACTATATATCACCTTTAATCTTAACTATACACCATAATAATACAATAACAGGTAAATAATCAGTATAAAGGTTCAGGAAACATAAATACAACTTCCAAAACTATTTGGTATACCACCTCGTGTGGCCTGACGGACT